CTAGTTACCTCCACTTTGCTGAATAGCTGTAGGCTATGAAGAATTTCTAAAGAGGAAAGACTTAAACTAGAACAATTGGTACCCCTACCAATCTGTTTCAATGTAATTCTTGAATATGAAAGCGATCTTCGCAGTAATAAACAGTACTTAAGTAGTAGTGAAAAGAAGGCCAGTACGGGATTTGAACCCATGACCTCTGCGATACCGGTGCAGTGCTCTATCAACTGAGCTAACAAGCCAAGTGGGAGCTGGTCACTGTGTTGGTTCCAAATAAACCCTGAACTTAAGAAGTGTTCATTACTGCCAAGATCGCTTTCATATTCACGTCTTTAACCGCAGTTCAAATATATGACTTCCATATATTCACAACCGATTTAATTTTCATTCCTTTTCTTCTATTTTCTTTCTTTCTTTTTCTTTTTTTGCGATTAAAACGCATACAAAAAACATCCCGCGCAGTATCACTGAATTTCTTAGTGCGTGCATTCTGAGTCAGAGAAACCGAACGCTAGAAATGAGATTTATAAATGTCTTCGAGAGAGCGCAGGAGCTTCTATTCAACATATAATCGTTCGGAATGTATGGGCTTTCTCAGTTTCCTTAAATTTTCGGTTAATTTCCAAATGCAAGTCATGTAGTTATTTGGGAACCGTGACCGGCAGTCGACCTCAATTTTGTGTCAACGTCCATGGCTCTGTATTCTGAGACCAGCGTTAAGGATCACCGAACGCTAGACATGAGATTTATAAATCACTTTGGGATCACTTTGCGGTTCCTCGTCGACATATGATAATTTGGATTGTGTAGGCTCTCTCAATTTGTTGAATTTTTAGAGAAATTTCAAACTTCCGTTCATTCAGTAGTTTGAGAACTTTGATCGGCTGTCGATTAGGTAACAAAAGTGTACGAATATATTTACGTCAAACAAAACTAACTTTATAGTTATGGACAGAAAATGGTTTCATTCTAAGCTTAAGTCACAAAATCCTTACTGGCAAGTAACCTCAATTTTATGCGTCAACGCCCATGGCTCCGTACTCTGAGACCAGCGTTAAGCATCACCGAACTCTAGACACGAGATTTTTAAATCACTCTGGGATCACTTTGCCTTTCCTCATCGACATATGATAATTTGGATTGTGAAGGCTCTCTCAATTTGTTGAATTTTTTGAGAAATTTCAAAATTTCGGTCATTCAGTAGTTTGAGAGCTTTGATCAGTAACCAAAGTGTTCGAATATGTTTACGTCAAACAAAACCAACTTAACAGTTATGGACAAAATATGGTTTCATTCTAAGCTTAAGTCACAAAATCCTTGAGCCTCCTTTTTGTAAGATATTTGCCTCCCTTTTGTGCCGGCTTCATATATTTTTTCAAGTAAACTTTAAGGATCGTGTGCTAGTAAGTTTGTTTTAACAATCTCGATTATTGTTTTAAAAAGACTCCTCCTCAATAGTGGCCTATTTGTATATTATCGCAATCAAAGGAGTGCTGATTCGTCCGTGAATATGAAAATTTCGGCGAGAGAAGGAGGAATTTTGTGTATAAAATGTCGTCTGCGGTACATACTTGAGCATCCATTTCGAATCCTTGTCTACCCATTTCTAACTACGTCACCACACAGCTAAAAAGGTTTATTTCTAGGGCTGGTCATTTTATGAAGAAAAATTAACATTTAGGGAGACGAGAAGTAGCACATAGTGTTGAGCAGGGTCAAAACAAGGGTGAGGTGGGTCCAAAGGTACTGTGCATTAGAGGAAAGAGGACAAATCGATCATTTGAAGATCAGGCATTAATTGTCTGTTCGGTAGATTTGGATTTAAAGCGTCTTTTGAATAAATAAAGAGGGATATAAACTTACAAGTGCGATAGCAAGGTGTTTTTGCTACATATGTCTGATGGTTATCCATTCGAACAAAAAATCATTTAAAGGCGGTATTTAGTAGGTTACACCAATTAAGGAAGGTCAGGAAACACATAAAATGCTTGCAGACAGACTTTTAGCGTCAATAAAGCGATGCCTCCTTTTTAGTTGCGATAAGAAAACGAGCTATACTGTAGAACAGAATGACTTTGAGGGTTTTTATTCGAAGTATTGAAAACAACTGAACATTTTAAAATTCCTCCCAACTCCCTCCGTATCTTCCAATAACCCCTGATTGTTATAATACATTAGGCTTTACCATACAAACTGACATGTTGTGTAGACCACTTCCTGAGCCGGGCGACGTTGATTTGTTGTAGGGTGGTATTGTTATATTGTGCTATATCAATTTTTTCGTATATACTGCGAGTACGTTTCTTTAGTAGGGTGAGGCTAAAACTAAGTGAGAAACATATTCCTACTTCGCAAATCATTGAAGGTTAAGCAAACCACCACACTTTGTCACGCTCAAGACTGGATATGATTCATTTTCAGACAAGTTTTGTGCCTCTTCGGTCCTGAATATGTTTTGGCATTTAACCGAGGGTTTTGTTCTCTTTTCTCAAGTTCCACGTTTAGGCTCGTTTACGTAAGAAACTTAAGTTTGTGAAAAAATCGCCAATCTAAAGTAGTTCACAACGGGATTAGAGAAAGGTTTGTCATAAAGTTTTCGTTTGAGGCTACTTTCATATTGTTTTAAATCACATCGTTCACTTTTCTTTGTATAAAACTTTCTGTACATTTATTGGAAACATAATCAGCAGTAGCTAAATTCAATAGTTTTCAGAATTCGTAAAAGGTATTTACTGACACACTGGAAAACTCTGAAGGAGTGCTCTGATTAGCCTCTCAAACTCCGAATTTCCTCAGGTTTTTACCATTAGGAGACTTGCTGGGGATTCGAGTTCGAAAGCATTATAGCCGTTGCAGGATTATATGGGCAAAAATAATCATTTTTTACTGTCTCACTGTTTTAGGGCAAGAAGACTTAGTTAGGCATTATTTTCCGATTCTATCAATAAAGTTGTCTTGACAAGTAAATACCGTTCGGGATTTGAGCTCGAAAGTATTTCATCGTTGCAGGAATAAATTATTTAAAATAATTTTTGTGCACTATTTCGTCCACTGGAGAACCGAGTTATTAAAGAGAAAAAAAAGTCAAAAAGACGGTGTTAGATTCTTGGTGCCTTTCGCCGGCGAGGTGTGCTCGATGAAAAACTTCCCCTCGAAATTAAATGGTTGTAACATCTATATCAACGCAGCAGTAGCTCGATCTGTTGCTTGATTCTGATGGTTAAAGAGAACGATAATTACATCTCAAGACGGCTTTATTGAGAGCTTCGAAAGATAATATTGTAACTAAGTCTTCATGTACCTCTTAGCTACATGAAATATTCAGGAAGGATTGATTCGTTAAAAATATTACTCTTCCATGATCTTTCTCACACTTATTACCACGTAGAGCAACGGGTAAAATATAGATTTCAGCTCTCTTCGTTTGACCTGACTCTGCGTTGAATTGTAGCAAGGTGCACATATATGCTGTGCAACGTCACGTTATCGCCTAGTTTTTCAGGAAATTGCTTTCATCATGCATCATGCTGCATTTCTCTGTTCTTATGGTTACTTATCACCGGAAAACTTGTGAATAGTGAAATTAACCAGTGTAGCTGTAAAAAAAAAAAAAAAAAACTATCGTAGCATTGCTTTCTTTACACTGTGTTTTCTTCGGTAATGCATGTAACAAACAACAAAATTTCCCTGAACCAAATCATCTATAAAATAATATTTTCTAATCCAATTGTTAATTAAGTTTTCTTTGGATGTAGAAAATACGCACTTGAGCTTCTTTCTTTTTTTTTTCCTTTGGTAATTTTTTTTCTCTGAGAAAAAAATTGGCAAAGATGATCAATTTGTTAAAAAAAGCTATCAATAATGTAACAATGAACACTGTGATGCAGAGTACAATTGACGTCTGCGCTCGCCGAGTGAAATTCAGGTACAGGTGGCCCAAGCTCTTTATGAGAGAGAAGTATTTTACGGGAGTTTAGGCTCCGCTCTGTAACTCTCTAGCGAGAATTTTAAATGACCAGCATTTCTAAAGTCCTGCGAACCCGCGGTAGGAACTTCTGCGAAACTCGGAGACCATTACGACACGGTCGGCTTAGGCGCGAGTCAAATTTCTCCCCAAAGAGCAGCCCAGAGTCGAACATACTAGACCAAGAATGACACTCAGTCATCCGTGAAAAGAAAAAGATTAGTGGAAATCCCGCGCCTAAAAAGTGTCTATAAGTCTTCGGCAGAACTTCTATGGATCGAACATATTCCATTAAAATCGAAGACAACTATCTGGCTTTCGCGCTGCAGAGTATCAAAATTATCACTATCTACGGAGTAAATAGCAACGCGTAACATAAAATCGTCACATGATATAATACACTTAAAAGATTATAAAAGGAAAAAATTAATAGAAATTAAAACTTTAAAACAAGCCCTTCTGTATCGCCATATATCTAGCTTTTCTTTGACATTTGCAACTATTTTGATGCCTTCTAGAAGTTAGACTACTGTACCCCAGTTTGGAAGGAATACATCGATAAATCAGTAATCGGAGCGTGCTGTTAATAGCAACATCGACCCGCTTAAGGGTTTAGAAATTTGTCATTCTTTGAAAAAACTGACTATTTTTAAGATTTAACAATCTCTTACATTTTTACATCCCGGCCTCCAGTTCTCTGAGCCGAAAGTATGCCTATCGGAAAGCTATGCAGCTGGTTGTTTACTGAACTACACATGAAGAAATTGTTCCAACCATGTTTAACGTGAACGGGTTATAATGCTGATAAAATATGCTTTTATTCATTAGGACCCAGTTGTCTGAAGCCCCATTAGCGCTAACCTAAGGTTACATTTTAATCCGGATTTCTTTATTCCTTCATTCAAAAGCCTTTTTGGGATAATTTTCTATATCGCTTTTAGAGCATCCAATCATCACATTCTTGACAAAAAGGATTCGATTGAATTTTGTTTTAAAGCTTTCAGATCTGAAATCAGTTTCAAACTAATCATGGGTTATCTTTACCCAGTTTTGAACAACTTCGCCCAGGAGATTAAGGAAAAGGTCTAATTAACAATCAAAGTTGTTTATTGCTCCTGCGAACTTTCTGTGGTCAATCTCTTCGTCGGTTGTAACCCAAGTCCTCAGTTACGATATTGCTACATACCGGTTAAATAGGCGCAGTTTGTAATGCGAATTTATGAGGCTGTTAATTCGTCAATGGAATGAGGAAATGAATCTTAGCTTACAGCCACCCCAGGTGAGAGTTATTACTGTGCTGAATACGCATGGTTTTCAAAGCGGCTGATGACGAATATTATTATTATTTATTATCGACATATCATTGTCAGTCCATGTATGGATATAGACATATACTTTTAAATTGAAATGCACACAATATAGATTTGTGTAATCGTAGCTTACAGCCAAGCCAGGTGAGTATTGTTGCTGAAAATGTCTTGTGACAAGTCGTTCAGCTGGTTGTTACTCAAGTCCCTGTCAGAAAAAATTGATACATCTGTGTTAAATACATACGGTTTTCAATACTCATGACAGATACTTGTATCAAAAAAAAATAAACCGCTTTTATTTCTTTCCAAAGTCTATGTTTCGCCTTCGCACGAATTTTTCGCTTCGAGGATGAAAAAATGGGAGTACGAATCAACTGTGGTCAAATAAACAACTTTCCAGCTAAATACGTGTATGGTTGCATAGATTATGATCTCTTGGCGATGAACAACATAGTGCAGAAAGCAGTAACTTGAAAATGTCGCAAAGGCTTTGTTACATATTTCAATATTAATAATAACAAAAAAGTAATTTAAGAAAAGCGGCATTCAGTAGTAAACTCTTCCAGATGAACGCATCGAACAGTTTAACTCAAAGTCGTCCGTTGTACACCAGAAATGGATTAATTGCATTATTGTTCCAGCCATTTCTCGGTGAGATGCTATTTTTACCGTCAGATCTACTTTTTCACAGCTATCTTTGACTTTTACAGCTATATTCAAGCGGTCATATAACACCAGAGATAGTGCTGAATATAACTAAAACAGTTAAAATATATTGGTATATATCTACGTTTTCTAAAGTTCTCATGATTTGCTTGATATTTCAGTTTCTAAGGGCTTCCTATGCATAAAGTACCAGGTATTGCGAGCATAAACAGAAAGCATACTCCGCCATTATTGTTCACATTCTACAAAATTTGTTCGTTTTGCGATTCCTCGTTGCCTTCACGAAGTCACGAAGTACTGCCTTATTGTTTAGCTTTGTTCTTGTTTTGTGACCCTGCTGGCATGGACCGGCATTGTATGATATCAGCACCACAGTATTCTCTATCAGCACCACAGTTAAAATACTTTTTAGTGCAGCCACGAGGTTACAGCTTAGAGTTTACAAGGTACAGATCTTCTTTCGACATGGCTCGAGAGACTCGGGAAATAGTAGTTCGGGTGAGGAATGACCCCCGTAGCAAACCTACGATCAAAAAATTCAATATTGAAGAATTTCCAGTCATTGACGTCGATGGCACCACGCAAAGGCTAGTGTAAGACTGATTTAGAAGTCGCTCTTACTCAGGTAAGATGAAGAATGACATTCATTTGCTTCGTAATCTGCAGTTTAGTCTGCAACTTACATGGCACCTCAACAATTGATCTCTTGTTAATACTCACAACGTCGCTGTGGTAAGGGGAATTTTCCACGGAAACGACATCAATTCTTTTCCTGTACAGCTCACGCGCAACAGATTGTATGTTCCCTTCAAAATGTGGCAATCACAAGGGCCTGGGCACTCTGAATATTAGACATAAATTATTGTTCATATAATTAAATCGCTAAAATATGTGTAGTATGTCATCACTGAGTTTGCATTGCGAACAAGAAAACCAACTTGTTTTATCGTATCGAGAAAAAAAAGAAGAAAGTAACGATCTTTAGAATGATAGTATACAAAGGAATGTTCATGAGATAAACTTCTAAAGTTAGGCTAAATTTAAATTTGCGGAATTTTTTCAACTTTGGAGTATCTACTTTGAACTGATTACTAACATACTCTTATCATTGTCAGCATTTAGGGAAGTCAGAATTTAAGCTAAAACAAAAAAAAATTCAGTGAGGAGAGTGTCTTTCTGAGAGGCCGAACAGCGCTGAATAATTAGAATAACTAAAGAAAAATAGTTCTGAGGTGCTTACGTAAGATAAGATTAATATTTCTACTGTGTGAATTAAAAAGTGGATATGATAAAATGCTGCTTACAAACCGTATGACAAAATTACCGGTCATTAAGAAAAACTAATTAAAACAAATTGAGAACTAAAATTACCAAAACTAATCAAAACAAATTGACCCTTTAACTTCCATGAAGTGACCAAGAGAGAATTTCTCCCTACAATATCGATACAATTTCAAGTAGACAAGTTATGAGAATAAAGAGAAATATCAATTAAGGGGTTATTAGTTGATCCGGAAACAAATTCTCAGAACTAAGATCATAAGAATCGTACAGGAGTAAGTATGCAGAATTACTAATGAGATCTTGGAAGTGAAAGGGTTAATTGAAACAAACATTGTAAACGAACATCGTGCAAAAATCCTTACTGGTCGGAGGCGAACCAAAAAAGACCAAGCGGGGCAAACCAAAACACAAATCCAATGAGTAGCAGGGTGGATAGCTTGAACCCAGACCACTAGATTACAAGCTTTACACTATAATCACTCGGCCTCTTTTCCAAACAAAGATTGTCATTCTGATATAGCTGATCAAAGAAAGCCTAATCCGAACGAAGAACTGTTTAAGATAATGATAATCTATCGCAGTCTGTTTAAGATATTGATAATTTATCGCAGTCTAGAAGAACGGGGCAAATTACGGGAGCGACTACATCGAGGGCGGCGAGCCGTGGAGGGATACCAAGAAATTAAACAAGATATTAAGAAATTGACCAAATAGTACAGATTCAGGCATCCAATTAAAAAAGTGATATGGTTCCATTACACTTGTGTAAGGAATAAAACTCACCTTCAATGTTGAGGCTAATTTCGCTCCTTGATACGTTATTATCTCTTCGTACCTCACAGCTGTAATTCACATTCTCCTCTGCAGCTACAAGCTGATATCTTACGCTGGTACTATTTTGAACAACAACACCATTTTTTCTCCATACAATGTATGGAGCTGGCGCACCTTCCACCGGGCACCACAGGTTGGAGGTTCTGTTCAAAATTACAGTCTGTGTCTTGGGTACTTGGGTCATGGTAGGTGTCGCTACATAAAACAAAAAATAATGATAATGATAATAAAAAATGTATTAAGGCAAGCAAATGCTAGATGAATAGTCTGTATCATACAGGACAAGCAAACCACAGGCATAATATATAAAGCAAATACATTGTGTATGGACAATCATATTTTACTCCAAAGTCACGGAGAACTTCTTTCGGTGTCTCTCTTTGTCTGTCTGTCTCTTTCTCTATATGTGGCTGTTCGTCTGTCTCTTTGTATATCAGATAAAAAGCTACTTAATAAGGGAATAAATACTGTTAAATGTGCGATAAAACGTAATAGTAAGGTAGGCCAACGATATATTTCCTGAATATAAATTGTTATATCATGAAGTTCCAATTGAATTTAAATATTTTAACTACATGCTTTAATAGAAAGTTAACAAGAAAGATCGTGCCTGTTTGATTGGAGGATCTTCCCGTGTAGTATGCATTAAGATTATATCTGCGATAAGGGAAAAATCTTAACCACAAGTATCGTCCACTGGATCGCACTACAGCAGCCTTGTGATCTCCACAGAATACACCAAGAACGTTGGCTGACTGATTATTGCCGTCACGGATCTCAAGATAGTAGTCCTGCAGACACGGTCGTGGAGCCCACGAGTAGCTGCGCATGGTAAAGTTCAGTTCCACGTAGTGTCCTTTTGGAGCTGAGAGAACATGTGACTCCCAAAACGAAGGAACTTTATCCCATCCTTTTGCTTGTTGAGGATGTTTCAACAAAACTACAACAAATACAATAAGTCAATTACTTGGCTTCCAAAAACAAAAATATAGATATCATACATCAAGAGAAAGAAAATATATGCAATTTTACGTAACAAAGGCCGCCACATTAGACCTCATCTGATCTCTGTCTTACAAGTATCACTAGTCCACTAATCAGATATCAGATCACTAAGCTAACAAACATCTATCGCACGACTAAAACAAAATTTTATCTAGAGCTCGAGTTCAACGGGCTTCAGCTAGCTATTATAATACTGTCTTCCATTCCAACCAAGAGCTTACAAACTCTTTGCATTTGCGGTTAGTTTTTGATTGAGAAAAGTGTTTCAGAGGATAAAGGAAAGTGGTTTATTTATGAATTAGAGGAATAATTTATTGACGTCATCTTATTCTAGCACTTTACTTTGAAGTTTGATTGTACAAGGTAAATGCAGAGGCAATGTCTTTCACAAGTACAGTCTTAAGCTCAAAGTTGGACCATGTAAACGTTTTGGGCACTTCCTCTTACCACTGAACCAGCGTGCACCATATGTTGCATGCCTAGCAGTTTGATATTACACGCAGATATGAGAATTTGTGGCTCTTCATGATTGTTATATTACGATTAAACACTGGCGCATATTGCAGTTCAACAAGACTTGACATAACAATTGCCAATAGACTCTCACCCACACTTCACAGTTTTTCTCATTGCTCTATCCATCCATTTAACCTTGCACTCTCCTCCCTTCCTCTCCTCTTTTCCTCCCTTTGCTCGTCCTTTCCCGGGCCTCCCCAAGCATCTTACCCTTCCTCCCCTCCCACACTACTCATGGGCTCCCATTCCATCCCATTTGCCAACAACGGCAAATGTTTATCATTAAAGCAAACACTTTCGACAACAGTTGTGAACAGCTGAAGTGCTTACAGAAAAGGAGGATGAAACTGCACTTGGCCACTGAGGGTACCATCATGACGTGATTCAGTTTTTTTTCTGCAGAAGAAAAGGTAGAGTGTTTAATTTTGTCTCTTTCAATTTTTCATTGAATCTTTTCAAAGCAGCTCGATGTTTTATACACAAGCTTTTGGAGTAAAACTCTTTAGATAGTAATGAATTTGTCTCCATCGGCTATAGAACAAACGGAATCCTTCCGCGTAAAACCAAAAAAACTTCAAAGATTTTCATAGCGCTTTCTGGAAAGTTAAATTTAAAAAGAAAGTCATTGTTTAACCCTGTTGATAATTAAGATATTGGTTTGCTATTGTTTATCTATAGCGCTCTTTATCACTTGGATTATGCAGTTCAAAGGAAAAACTCCTTTTCGTATCAGAACATTCCCCTTTGTAATTTAGAATAATGAAAAGAAGATTGTGTTAGTTGCCTTATGACTCAAGCGAAGAAAATCACGTCAAAACTAATAAATACAGCCACTCAGCAACCAATGGACTCTTTGTCCTCTGTTCAGTCATACACAGCTAAAAGTTACACACTCTAAAAATAACAATAACAATATATGTTGAGACCTTGTAAAAGTGACCCTGTCTTCTTGTCTGATAACTACCGTTCATACTTCGTAGGACATTTGAACATTGTGATAAAGATTTTGGTTTATTCTAAAATCATAAACAAGATATTCAACTTTACATCAAACTTCAAGGTAGGTTTAACTCACGAAAAATTTCAGTTCGTTCATGCATCTTGCACATTGATAATTTTTTTCCAACATTTTAGTGTGTTATTTACAAGAGAAAAAAATGTAAAACAGAGAAAAAAATATTCGGATTATTTAACAGCGTATTTTTAGTACTGCTGTCCTGATTTGTGCACATATCCTGATGTATCAAAAATGTAAAATTTCATACTCAACCGAGTTAAGCATTATCTTAGTAAGCTTGAAGGCATGAGTTTTTAGCCAATAATTTGTATTTCATAACAACTGACCTTCTGAGTAATGGCAAATGAAATTGAAATGAAATGAAAATGGCTATTTTCCTTTTAATCTAAAAGAGACGAGAGCGTTTTGCCTCATATGACTGAAATTTTATTTTCGAATCAAGAACTAACAATCTCACATTTGGCACAGTTAGAGGTTAAATTAGCCAGAAATATTCGTTTTTTGTTGTTGTTGTTGCTGTTGTTGTTCGTAAAGAAAGGAATATAATTGGTGACTTTGACTCTTCGTGCACAAGGTTCCGGAGTACTCTAAAATGTTCCAGAATATTCCATTTTGCAACTTCTTATGTTAAGTCATGTTGCACTGTTTTAAGAATAGGATATGATGTAATTATTTAGAATGTTCTAGAATGTTCTAGACTGCTAAAACATATGTTTGCACTTGTTTTCTCTTTTATAAACTGACTGACATTTATTTCTCCTAAATTCTAAAAGTTGTCCGTGTTTAGAACTGACACTTCATCTTTAAATATTTACATTAAAAATACGAATTGCTAATTCTCTGGTCGATCAAACGAGTCATTAGGGACCGAGATTAAAAAATAATCCTTTCCTTTTCGAATGCCTTTTTGACTGATGAATCATATGATGAATCTCGTTTTTCCCACCACCCTCTTCCCTGAGAAAACGTCGGTATGGTTGAGAGAATTGAGAATTTATTGGTTAAAAGTAAACAATTATAAACTAGAAGAGTTAGTTATAAACTAAAAGTTATCGAAACTCTAGTAGTTACTACGTCTTCCTATAGAGCATGTGGACAAAGTATGTTTTCGTTTTTCTATCTTTTAGTTTTATTTCCTTTTAATTTCATTGATGCTGAGGAAAGAAATGCTACCTTCAACAAAAAAATAAATAAAAATGGAATATTAATAATTTTTAGATCCCGCATCATCCATAAGCTGACTGTTTTTTGTCTCCGACTCAGTTTTCATTTGACTTTCAAATTTTTGGTTTTACAAATTGATCGCCAATTTTTCCTCTGTTTTGTTGTTATGTCTTAAATGTAAAACAACAATTCAAAGTGGACGCTCCTATGCAGATTTTTCCACTAAATCTTAATGTGTTTCTCTAAGCATTTGGACATTTTAACAAGTTGATTATTTCTGATTCTCGTCTGTAATTTACACAACATTGTAGCGATATTTATAGAGAGAAATTCAATTTTGATCAGTTTTACAGAAGTGCTATGTTTCCGTTGTTGTAAAACCACTAAGAAATTTGATTGCAGAGTTCATGTTTCGGTGATTTCACAGGACCTAAAGAAACTAGACGGATTGAATAACAGACTATACGTTCCAGAGATAAATAGTGAAGAATAAATATTCCGTTAAAGTACAAAACAAACACGTATACTTCAACAGGGACATCTGTACGGGAAATGAAGTTATTTTGCGATACACAGAAAAAACTGCTCACCGTCTTTAAATTAACAACTTTGCCGCAGGAAGGATAAAATAATTGACTACTAAGAGTAAAGGAGAAAGCTACAAAGCTATTATATTAAGTACCTGAATATTGATTGTCCCTTTACACTTTCAGAGCCTGATTGGGTTTATCCACATAAGCAGCAGAGAATAAATACACAGAAAAGTAAAGGTTTTTACAGCTGCTGTTAACTGTTGTTTCAAATAAATTCAAAGTTAAGACAAGAATTTTAATCGCGTAATTCGTTAAAGTCACACGTACAACAAAAATAGAAAAGAAACTTACTTTGTGTTTCAAGAAAGGGCTGATTACTACTACTATTAGAAACTAACCAGACAACTGATAGAATGCTGCAGCGAAATGAAGACTTTCTGACCCAAATTTGATTCCTGATCATATTAAAAGATAACTATTGTTCGGCAACTGACGTTTTTATTAGTTCGCACCAATATTCAACTTAAAAATGCTGATGATGCCATCATCGACGCACAAACTTTCACGTCAGAAATTTCTGTTTCGCCGTGTACATAAAAGACGACTATTTGTGTTCATTCTTTGAAACCGGATCTCAAAATATAAATAATGTTGTCCTATGGTTGAAAATATTTTTCCCACATCAGTTACTCTCTGCTAATAATCAAAAGTTGAAACAAAGCTGGATGTAGTTTGAATAATTATCATTACCATTTTCATTATCATTTACTACTCTTATGTTATTATCTGCAGCGTACCGAGTGTTAATGCATAAAAAATTGACCCATTAGGTGCAAAACGTAACCTATGTTTTTTTCTAGGAATTTAATACTGAAAAAGTTGAGGTCCTAACTCTTCTCTATCTTGAACAATTTATAAAACAAGGGAAAGAAATTTCTACCATGGAACCTTTGCATTAATTTTCGCGCATTAATTTATTCTTCGCCGAAGTGACATGCTTGTCACACGGGGAAAATAAGCTTCACCAGCTAACCGAAAAAACATAAGGACCATCTGAGCGGACAACATTACAAAATATATGAATTTAGAAGGTAGCAATGGAATGTCTCCCACTCGTGCACGTGTTTACCGACAACCACCGCTACACGTGAACAGAGCATGACTGAGGGTAACGTTATACCGGCATGACATTTTGGTTTTGTAGTATTTTGCGCTCTTACGCGCTTTCACTGAAGTAGGTTTTCAAAATTTTCGATTTGTTTCTCCATCGCCTTCTCTAATTTCTTTACTTTGCTATACAACAAATCACTAGACGACTGTGCCTACTGTCAAGCGTCCTTTCACTACTAAAAAAAACTTCCTATAATGGAATGGTTAATCGATGGAACTCGTTGGACAGTTCCCTTCAAATTATTAACCTCATAATGGTGTTTGTTAAATCTCAGGATGTTAAGCTTAAGCGTATGAAATACCATGATCTTACTCTTTGGGGGAATGTATTAAAAGGTTTGTGCTCTTTACTTATATGAAGTCTCCAGTTTCCTATATTCAATATCAATTTACTTTGCTCAACTGCACTAAAGTTGTCCTAGAAAAAAGCAAAATCCAAAAAGGAAAAACGCCTAGAAGGAATTTGTTAGCACATAAAATGTCCCTTTGGCTTTATGCCCGGTAGCCGAACAATTTCAGATAATTTTCAGCAAAAGGCACGTACAAGATGATGATTACGGATATGAGTATTTCCAAAAATGTTAAGTCAAAATCTATATGCTTATGTCGTACACCGCAACAAATGGGACTGCTGTTACCAGTCTCAATTCACAAGAAACAACCGATAACTTCCTCTAAATTCATCTTGTTGATCCTTGCTTGTTTTGGAGCAAGGGATTTGATGAATCGCGTTTTTCCCACTACCCTCTTTCCTGAGAAAGCTCCGGTATGGTTTAGAGAATTAAGAATTATTGGTTAAAGGTTAACAGTTATAAACTGGAAGAGTTATTTATATACTAGAAGTTATTGAAACTCTAGTAGTTTTTACGTCTTCCTAAAGAGTATGTGGACCAAGTGTGTCTTTCTTTTTCCTTTTTTTTTTTTTATTTATTTCCTTTCAATTTCATTGATGCTGAAGAAAAAAATGCTAACCTCCACAAAAAAATAAAAAATTGAATATTGGTAGTTTTTAGAACCTGCATCATCCACAAGCTGACTGCTTCTTGTCTCCGCCTAAGTTTTCATTTGACTTTCAAATTTTTGGTTTTACAAACTAATCACCAATTTTTCCCCTTTTTTTTTTTAAGTGTAAAACAAAAATTCAGAGTGGTCGCTCCCATGCAGATTATTCCACTCTGAAGTCCGAAGATCTCACCACCAAATCTTGATGTGTTTCTCTAAGCATTTGGACATTTTAACAAGTTGATTGTTCTTGATTCTCGTCAGTAGTTTACACAACATTGTAGTAATATTAATAGAGAGAAATTAAATTTTGATCAGTGTTACCGAAGCGCTATGTTTCCTTTACTTTGATACAACTAAGAAAGTTCATTGTACAGTTTATTTTTCGGTCATTTCACAGAACTTAAAGACATTAGACGGATCGAATAACAGACTGTACGTTCTAGAGATAAAAAGTGAAGAATAACTTTTCCGTTAGAGTACAAA